GGCCACCGGAGCTCGTCCGTCGAGTCCCCAAGCATCTGCGCCGCCAGCTCCGGAAACAAGGGAGGTCAGCACCCAGACCGACGCCCATGAGATGGAAATCGAGATGTGCTATCTCCGACGCCGGGAGACCTACGAGAACTTCCTTCAGAAGCGTGAATTTCTCGACTGGATCGATCCGCTTGCGGTGCTTGCGGTGCACATGAACGTCGAACAGCTGCTTCCACTCTCTCTATTTCTTGAAGTCCCCACTGAATTTCGGGAGTCGATATTTTCTGTCGAGTGCCAACCCTTGGCTACTCGTTCCTGGAGCTCCGCAGCTGGACTGCTGAACCGCTGGACGACACGTTATCTCGTACGCGTCCTTGATCCGGAAGAACTCTTCCTCGTAGAAGAACACTCTTTCTATCGCGTCCTCGTACTGTTCGGGCGACAGCCTGCATGGGAGTAGCATAACTGCGAGATTCAACGCTTTGATTTCATCGTGCGTTGACTCAAGCACTCTCCATATTCTGGATTTAACACTGTCGGACGCCGTCTCATCCCGCAAGGCTTCCTCGAGCTCGAAGATTTTCTTTGTCAGGCGATCTCTGAGCGAGCGTCTGAACGCAACCTTCGCGTTTAGCTCATCGCGCTCGCCAGCCGTGCCCTTCTTCCCGACAATTTCCTTTGTGTCATCCAGCCTCTTCTCTGGCTCGCCTTCTGCCTTGCCCTCGTTACTGAGTTCCACCTTGTCCGGCATATTGCGCTCCGATCCCTTTCTTCACTGAATCGCCGCACTGAATGCCTTCCCCTGGATGGACACCACGTTTTCGCGAATTGCAAATTTGGAGTCTCAAACTCCCGCAACAACCACTTGATGGATCGGGATCCCTTCTGAGAATCTTGGCTACCCCTTTTCGTAGCGTATTTCTTCTGAGAAACGCTCTTCGGTCGTCCTCTGTAGTTTCGACGCTATCCGAAGTCGTTCTCGACCACCGAACGATTTGGAATCTTGTCTGAAACTGGTACTGCTCTCCGACGATCCTCAGTTTTTCGCTGCCACCATATGATGCACTCTCGTCTCGGGACAACAATCAACGAAAACTCGTATCTGATGATTCATAGTCTCGCTCGTCTCGGAGACGCTCTGAACGCTTGCTCGCCTGAAGCGCTCGCGGTGCAACTGATGGCGCATCGACTCGGCGTGCCCGAGCTTGCACATGCACTTTCAGCCCCCCCCCCGGACGGCCACTAGAGTAGCCTTATTCTTTGAACTCTGGCTGTGCGTCTCAGACTTAGACCTGGAGCGAGTTCTCTGAAAGCTTGGATGCGGGAAGGAGCTTTCCGAAACTTTTTCTTCACGTTGCCCATGAAAGAATCAACGTCAGGAAACGCTTTCCGTATCTCTTCACAGACACGGTGGATACCATGCGCGATGCATGTGATAAATACCATTTTCGGAACGAGGATCTTCAGGCCTTCGGCTGCTTTTTTCATATAGCTTGCCGCATCGCTCACGAAGAGAAGCACTCGATCGTGTTTCAAACCATCCGGCCACAAAATGTTCAGAGCATCACAGAAAGCCTGCGCGATGGTGGCGTGATTGGTGCTTTCTACAACTTCCGAGTTGAGGACATATGGGATCGAAGCTTTGGACCCGTCAAGTGAGCCGACCACTGTGTGTACCACGAACTGGCCCTTCGCGTCAGTCGTTTCATCCACCGAAACCCATATCTTCGAATCGCCGATCGAATCCTGTATCCTCCTGATTACTTCATCGTAGGTGGGCTTCAGATAGTATTTCCTTAACGTTGAGTGGTGAGGAACCGGCTGTTTCGTCCACTTCTGCAGGAATTTGCGAAACGACGAGCACTGCGTTTTGTAGAGAGCTATGTTGCTTTGAAGCATCATTCGACATAGGTCCATGCTGAATTCGTTGCTTTTCTCGGGGGCGACCGTGTATTTCGTGAGGAGTGATCCTTGCTGCGGCGTCGATCCAGTGCGACGCTTTTGACGCTCTTGGTGCAAGGAAGTCTTCATATGTTGCAGAACATAATATTTCTTATCCGAGTTCACAGCCTTGTCATACACTTTGCAGAAAGGCACTGCTCCATCGGTCGTCAGACAATCTGCTCCGAAAAGCGACACGTACGATTCCAGTTTGCTCAATTTGCTCTTGGCGTGCTTGGGCATCTTCAGTGTCGCATCTGACTGCTTCCGTACTGATCCCACCACAGAACTTTTGACTTCTATCAGGAATTTGAAACAGCTCCGTTCGGAAGCGTTGCTTCAAGCACAGGGAACTCGCACGAGGAATACAGCTGTCGGCACGCATCACCTCGACGTTGCGTGCTCGAGATCGTGGCAATATTCAAAATAAGAGACACGTGCGACTTTTCCAAGAAGTCGCCCGCGTGCACGCGGCATCGGCATACCCTGAGGAATGGCTCTAAGTGGGTATTTTGCCCGTAAACTCGCCAGAAAAGTCTGCTGAACTGTTTGAAAATGCCTAAAAAGGCATGAATGGCACGAAGAAGTCCAAATAGGCAGAAAGTCTGAAAATGGGCTGAAGAACTCGAATCTGGGTCAGTGGTTTCTGCTTTGGCCTGAATTCAGCGCAATGAGGTGGTGCGCCATGTACTGGAGAGATTTTTGCGAAATGATTGACTCATCCGATCGAATTTATCGTTGGATCATCTGATAGAGACCACAACAATACGAAGGTAACGCTCCAAGGAAACGCACAGGGTTCTGAGTGAGGTAGACCCCGCTCGGCCGAAGGCTTCTGGAGATTCTAGAAGAGCTAAACATGTCGCTGACAGCGACAGCCAGGCCGAAAGGTCAGAACCGCCAGAAGCTTCTGAAGATTTTTGAAAGGGCTAAACGGGGCGCTTTCAGCGACAGCAAGCCCGAGAGGCCAGAATTCGAATCTGGGTCTGTTGCTCTTGCGCGTGATGAGGTGTCGCGCCATGTGATTGAGACATACTCTCAAAATAAATTATAAATTACTTCCGATAAGAATAACCATAACTTGATCATCCAATCAAGAGGCAGAGACAACAAGACTACGGGGGTACCGGTTCAAGAAAACGTATAGGGTTTTGGACCCGAGCTCGTCGCGGAAAACTCGCTGCTCTCGTACGATCTCCACAAGTCAGTCGGCGTATGCCTCATCGCCGCCGACTGAGCTCACTGTTTTCCTCGGATAGGTTAGGAGGTTGCAGTGAAGCAGACTTCGCTGCACCGACTGGTGAGGCTGCGGTTGCGATCAATGGGACAACAGTTCATCATGCGTTTAGTATCCCATCTAAGCAACGTCAAAATTATTTTCATTGATGAGAAAAGTAGGGGAGACCGGGGCATGAGGGCACCAGAGTCGGGAATTAATTTTGCTCAGATACGGAAGTACCGAACTCTATTCTAGTTTGTCGAAGACCTCAGAAGCATATATCTGAGCCAGCTGTTGAATAGACACAAGCAGATACTTTTCTAGTTCAGAGACCTAGTTCCAGACTCGGGAAATTCCGGATGTAAATCTAGGACGTTCACTCTCTCAGCCTACTGGATCCTTGACACAGATACCGTGTTATATATTCGACGGATAAACGAGCAGATTCACTCTCTGCTCTGTTTTTTTTGAACGAGCAAGATCTATTCTTCCAATTTTGGTAAGCTCCCAATTGTGGTACAGTCACGCCGAAAATACAATTGCGTATTGAAGAAAGGAAAAAAAACAGGGTGATCATACCATATTTACTACCTTAGAAAGATCAAGAATAAATCCCTCTGGAAAGGCCAATTGCTCGATTCATCCATCTTTCAAAAAAAAATCAAAGATCATCTGTAGCATGTGACAATCTTCTCTCTCCGTAGCGTATCCAAATATGCTATTGATGGGCTAAAGTAGCTACCCAGAAAAATTCTGATGATCATGGGATGACTCACGGTGTCCAGACCGGACGCTGGAACAATGACGTCAGTATTCTGTGACTTAGTGTAAGTTCAGTAACCATCATAATTACTGTGGACGGGTTACTGACTTGCCCCGTTCCTTCCAGCACTATATGAGGCATAATATAGATCAGTACCTGTGGGGGAGCCTTTGGTATTCCACACCAAGCAGTGTTCATCTTTATGAGCCGTTGTCCCAGTTGTATCAAGCACAGCATCGATTCGAGCTCACCGCAGCCAGAGCTAGTAGGCTAGATAGCCGAGAAAACCTATCAACGTTATTGCGCACGAGTTCGCTCGGAGCAAGTTTCGATATTGTGCTGCATCGCAGTGAGTGTTAGTGCACAAACCTCAACTGCAAGATGCCATTGGCAACATCATCAACTCGGGATACCCGTAGGTCCCACGGCTACAGAGCGAACGTATCCGAAAGTGAGCTACTGCAAGATGATAATCCAACTTCGACCATCGGTGGATCCAGACCACGAGCGTTAAGCAACATCATCCCGGAAACCAGTGGTAAAAACTACATACCGTGGAAGACAGTTATGCCGGCTGTCATCGGAGCTGAACCGTACGCCTGGGTAAGCCGTACTCGGTACCCTGAATCCACCTGCCGAAGACAACAACAGAAGAAGTACGACGCCGGGAACAGAGCTGCGAAGTATATCTTGATGAACTCCATTCATTCGAATTTGGCAACCATACTATTTCTTGATGATCCGGAAGAAGTGGAAGCTCATGAAATTTGGAGGAGAATTCACCTCATCATCGGGTACGAAGAAATCACTTGCAATTTCACGATTCTCAAGATTCAAATTCACCCCCGGGCTATCCATTGAGGAAAACATTCTTGCATTCAAAAGAATCATGTATCAACTAAATCAAGCGGGAGTTGAAGTGACGGAGGACATCCAGTGTGACAAAATTCTGGAAGCTCTTCCAAGCAACTGGGACTTGTTCAGACGAGCGTGGAGTGCGAGGATGGATACGAAAGTGACAGCGGACGCATTGTTGGATCTCATCGAAGGTGAAGGCGAAAGGCTGGAACGGGATGAATCCAGAAATGTGACTGCCCTGATGTCCAGACTCAACATGTCCAACTCAAACAGGAATCAGCACTTGAGAAGGAGGCACGTTCTCGAGAAGAACGAACACCAGAAGATC